AAGGGCATTTTCCTCTAATTTTTATATCTAAGGTTACAAGAGAAATGCTAGAGGAACATAAGGGTTCACATAGCATTTGACACAATTGCCAAATGGTGCCCCCCTCCCCCCAAATACTAGGCCTAATAGGGGGCCGCCATTTGGCAATTGTGTCAACCCTTATGTCAATCATTATGTTCCTCTAGCATTCCTCAAGGTTACAATGCCGCCTTATTTATCTTTCATTTGCAGTGGAAGATACTTAGAGATCACGTGGATGAAATTGACCAGGAGGTTGCTGAGAATTAAAAAGCTGTTGGGAATCTGGCTTTATGTTTTTGGTATTAGCAAGGAAACAATCAAGAAAGCTCAATTAGAACGATGTAACTAATGGAAAAGTCTAAATGATCCTATTTTGTCAATTATCTTCTCATGTTCTTTAACTATATTTAGGAAGGGCTTGCAGGTTTATGCACCTGGGCTCGTACTCAATACTTTTATGGTTGATATCAGTTGGAATGTTAGTTATTATGAATGCTTTAACTGTTTTGCTCTAGATACTTAAATTCTCGTGGTGATGTACCTTGACTGCACGGCAATTGGATGTTTCTAACATATACAGATTTGAGCTCGACGATCAGCTTTGATTATGGATTAATGTCATTTCATGCTGAGAAGTAGAATGATGAATCCCTTTTGGAAGGAAAGTGTTACTGTGAACCCTGAGGGGTTGCTCAGTTGGTCAGATCTTAGGGTTTACTTCCTAATGGTCACCAGTTCGAGTCCCCTCAGGGCCATTGAGGTGAGTACCCGACCGTAAACTTCAGGGCCCCTGGAATTAGTCGAGGTGCGTGCAAGCTGGCCCGGACATCCACGGTTATCAAAAAAAAAAAAGAGAAGTGTTACTGTGACTCTTGCTGATTTCTGAGTCAATGTGATATAACCTGTGCACTGTTCTAATTGGTATGGTTCGACTCATCGGTTTTCAAGGGGTAAATATGTGTCCATGTTTTCCGTATGGCTGGTTTTCATAATCATTTTTTGGCTTTGGTAATTTGATTTATGGAAGAAATGTTAAGCTATCAAATTTGATGAAAGCTGCACTTTTCAGGAGTGTTGAGTTATTGAATTTTACTAGGTAAGGAGTGAAAATCTGTGCAGTGCAACTTTTCTCATCCTGTTTTATTATTGAGGCAAACAATGTGTGGCTGTCTAGTTAGGCAGAATTCTAAAATGACACATCTTGAGGCAATTTCATCCTCTCTCAGTACAGCTCTCACTGTGCATATTATGGACAAACAATGTAACAAATCAAGAGGACATCATGTTCTGGTTAAATATTTTGATCCATATGTACAAGAAACCATGTGACCATTTTGGTTTCTTAACTGGAACAAGAAACCAAACCTGATTGCCATGCTTAATAACTCAGGTTTATTTGACTTGGGCACCAACGGTTGTAGCCTTGAGTCGTTGTAGCCTTGAGTCGAGCTGACAGACCAATAAGAATTGAAGAAGGCCCATGGTTGTACAACTGATTCTAGTAATATAGCAGACTTGCACTAGGAGAGAATAAGAGATTGAGGATGATCTAGTAAACCCTAAATGTCAAGCACATGCTTAGTACGCAGCATTGATAAGTACTAGGTTGGCTGAACCCTAGACATCTGCTCGGTCCCTTTTACTCATCCATTCCTTGAAAGCTTTTGCATCACAAGGAATGCTGAGAATGCCTTCATTGCAGAATCCATATTCCTCAACTGATCAAGAATTCTGCATCATATAAAGCTGTGGTGTGCACCATAAAACGTTTAGTTTCATTATTTACTCCAACTGCAACTGGAAGATGGCCCCAAGGAGCCATTCAAGGTCCTCTCGAGTGATTCACACTGCGAACACTCACAAATCTGCTCATCTTACTAGATTTCACTTAGTGGTGTCAACCGAGCTGAGCGGCTCGTCGGTTCGCCCGCTCGGCTCGTACTGTTCACGCCCACGAGCCGCTTGGGCTCGTCAAAAATTTTTGATACAACAATATATGAAACAAACTTGTAACGCTAAGATATTTTTTTTGTAACGCTAACATTACCTTCGTAACCACATTGCCCGTGCATTGCACGGGCCATAGACTAGTAGCTATAAAAAGTTCCTACAATTAACCAGGCTGGAAAATCCGTGCAACATCATGTTGAAGTATTGGATGCTAATAGAAGAGGAGATATTGTCATAGATTTTGTTCATTTTTAAATAACAAGTGTACAGAATCAAAGACAAGTAATACAATGATAGATCGAGTATCATCCCACAAGAATGGTCGATTTTGCCATGAATTCAAATGTGTCATGTTCGAAGCCAAAATTTTGAGTTTTATTTGAAATTAAAAACTAATAAACTTGTTACCAGAAGCTAGATTATACCATCAATCTCCGAGAAAATTCTATGTTATAAAAGGTCAAGAAACCAACTCCGTCTATAAATTTCACTTCATTTCTCAATTTCTTGCATTCAGCCAATACAACTTTGAGTTGATGATTAGTTTTCCCACTTTTCCTATCAATCTCTCTAACTTAATTTCACATATGTACTTCCTACAAATCTATAAAAGTTACACACCCATATAATTGCTTTAAAATATAGAATATTCAATTCAAAATCACACAAGGCACAGAATAATGGTATTTAGCTCATTGGGATTATAACATCAGTTTATGTGGTGTTAGACAATAAGTTAAACGAAATGTGAAATTAAATGACTTATTTAATTGTATTTATCGTTAATGCCACATTAACGATACATAAATTGATTTTGTTGTGGTTCGACCCAAATTCTAGTAAGTATTGGAGTCTAAATTAGAGTGATCTTGAAGAGATTAAAATTATGTATTGAAGGAAAAAAATCACCGCATTTTCGCTAGTCTGACGCTTGCTGGAAACTCGAGCGAGTCTGGTAGAAAATAACCCGAGACTTGGTCGTTTGCCTGGCCCTGCCTTGTCGCTCGTTTATTGCCCGCCCGTCGCTTGAGCGACAGGCTTATCCGGTCCAGACCAATTTTCATTTTTTTACACGATTTTGGACTCCCATTCTTCTACAACTTATTTTCTAGGATTGATATATATATATATATATATATATATATAGCATGACTTGTATAGAAAATAAAGAAGATTCATACAATAGCTCGAGAGCTTTAAATTTCAAGTTAGTGCGTTGAGAACTTGTAAGTACAATTGCTATTGATTTTAGTTGATTTATCCTCCTTTGCCCGAGGGTTTTTCCTGTATAGGGTTTCTACGTAAATCTTGATGTTTATTTTCTTCTTGTTTATTTAATTATCGTCATTATCTTGTGATCCAAATTCATAACAAGTGGTATCAGATAAATTTGGGTATCTTGTTTGTTTCATAACATATGTTATAACCCCAGCGTAACAAATAGTATTACTCAAAAGGCACAAGGGGATATGCCTATCCTCCATCAGACCTTAGGTTGAGTTTTAACTAGTGCACAACCTATTTGCATTCTCTTGGAACAAAAATAAGACAACAAATCATCCAACTATTGATTAAATATTTAAAAACATTAAACATTTTAAAAAGAATCAAAAACAAAACAAAAAAATTGAAATGTAAATGGGAAGTTTCAAAGTAAAAAAATTTAAATACAGTTTATATCGTCATTATAAAATAATAAATTAACCTAAAATGATCTAATTATGTAAATATAAAATATGTGAAAAAGCCATCACCTGCCATTTAAGAGTTTACGAGAGATTATGTCACCTATTTTCTGACAAAGTAACATTATTCTGCGCCCCGAAATTCAAGCAACAAAGCCTTCAATTTTCTTGAAAATTAGGTTTTATATGAGACGTGTCATTTCAACATTAATAAATTTGGATATTTGAGACAGGTTTGAGACACGTTTTTCCAATTTCAGGATCGCACGGAGGGCAACTGAAAAGTCGCACTTGCTGAACGCGAGAAGTAAAAACCCCTGCTTAAGCGAAGTGCCAAGTGAGCCAGAAGCACAAACATTGTTCTGCTGCAAAGCTCCATTGAAGGTCTATACATATAACTGCATTCACGTAATAATTTGTTCTATATCTTGTGTGCTGTTGAAGCTAAATTCACGGCTATGTATTCGAATTTTTGTTTTGTATCTATAGATAGGCGAAATGTCGAAAAGGGGAAAGAAAAGGGACGACGAGGAGGCACTTTCCGAAGGCGACGAGCCTCCAAAGAAGTCAGCTAAGCCCTCAGCCTCTGCGGTCGATAACGATTCTGATGAATCTGACAATATAGTCGTCTGCGAGGTATAAATGCTTGTTCTGTGTGATTCTTTGTGTAAATATTGTATTTCAAGGGTTTTTATGTTGTATTTTTTGTTCGTTTGAAATTACAGCTTTCCAAGAATCGAAAAGTGTCGGTGAGAAATTGGAATGGGAAGGTTGTGGTGGATATTAGAGAGTTCTATTATAAAGACGGCAAAGAAATGCCTGGGAAAAAAGGTTTGTTTTTTCTTTTCCTTTAATAAACAAGTAAATAAAACCCCGATTAACTATATCTTGTATTATTTCTCTGATTTTTTTTTTGGTTTGATCTGTTGTCAAATGCTTTTCCCATTGTGGTTGAATGTGTTGATTGAGTATCTGGAGTTTATTTTTTTCCCCTCATAATAAGAAGATAGACCGTGTCATCATCATCATCACCGTTACCGTTCTGTCATATTTCAATTGTTATTATCATTTTTGGATTTGTTTGGTTTATTGTGTGGTGAAGGTTTTTCCCAATAATGTTGACACAAATTAGAATGTTGGATGACTCGTACTACATAGGCATCGAATTTGAAAATATATCGATTTTCTTGAGAACAAATGGTGCTTTTCAGTATATATACCAGCCAAAAAACGGAACTTGTAAAGTAAGAACATAGAAAGAACAATCTTGTGAATTTATAAAACTTGTTAATGTAGGTTGGGAAAAAGGTTCCTTTTACTCTTAACCATCAAGCATGAAATGAAATACCATGTTTGGTCCTCAACAATTTGATACTCATAAGCATTATGTACAGAAAAATGAGAATTCAACTTCTTAAATGCTTTTGATGGACAATTATGTGCATTGGTATGAACATTAAGTAAACACGTCTAAGAGGCGGTTTCCAATATTTGAGTCGTCATCACCACTTGAAACATGGTTACATCTTTTCTACTGAATAATTTGATACAAGACTACAAGTTTGTATCCTATAAAGGAACCCTTAGAGAATGGTGGAAGAATGGGCGAGGCTACCTTTATTATTGTGGAATTGTGGCCTCGGAACTAGATTTCATAGCCATTACCTTTAAATTTGAACTAGTGATTCTTAAGTGCTGCTATTATTTCAATTTCTGTATGACTATTGCCTGGTCAAAACTGGAGTTGTACTTTTAAGTTTGTTGTCATTTATTACAATTACTTAAATCAACTTAATATCTTATGACCATTAATGGAGGCAAATTCATGATACTTTTGGCACTTTGTTCAGGTATTTCCCTAACCATGGATCAGGTATGCTCCGGTCATGATTCCCACCCCCCCGGCGAAAAAAAAGGGCATTTTCCTCTAATTTTTATATCTAAGGTTACAATGCCTCTTTATTTATCTTTCATTTGCAGTGGAAGATACTTAGAGATCACGTGGACGAAATTGACCAGGAGGTTGCTGAGAATTAAAAAGCTGTTGGGAGTCCGGCTTTATGGTTTTGGTATTAGCAAGGAAACAATCAAGAAAGACGATGTAACTAATGAAAAGTCTAAATGATCATCTTGTCAATTATCTTCTCACGTTCTTTAACTATATTTAGGAAAGTAGTTTATGGCTTGCAGGTTTATGCACCTGGGCCCGTACTCGTACTTTTATGGTTGATATCAGTTGGAATACAGTTAATTATTATGAATGCTTTTAACTGTTTTGCTCTAGATACTTGAATTCTCATGGTGAAGTATACCTCGACTGCACAGCAATTGGATGCTTCTAACATATACAGATTCGAGCTTGACGACTCACTGATTACCCATCTGCGTTGATTATGGATTAATGTCATTTCATGCTGAAAAGTAGAACGATGAAAATCCCTTTTGGAAGATAAGTGTTCCTGTGACTCTTGCTGATTTCTGAATCAATGTGATATAACCTGTGCACTGTTCTAATTGCTATTCATCGGTTTTCAAGGGGTAAAAATGTTTCCATGTTTTCCATATGGCTGGTTTTCATAGTCATTTTTTGGCTTTGGTAATTTGATTTCTGGAAGAAATGTTAAGCTATAAACTTTGATGAAAGCTGCACTTTTCAGAAGTGTGAGTTATTAAATTTTACAAGGTAAGGAGTGAAAATCTGTGCAGTGCAACTTTTCTCTTCCAATTTTATTATTGAGGCAAACAATGTGTGGCTGTCTAGTTAGGCAGAATTCTAAAATGACACATCCTTAGGCAATTTCATCCTCTCGTGAAGTAATTCTCCCAGTACAGCTTTCACTACGCATATTATGGACAAACAATGTCATAAAACAAGAGGGCATCATACTCTGGTTAAATATTTTGATCCATGTACAAGAAACCATGTGAACATTATGGTTTTTTAACTGGAACAAGAAACCAAACCCGATTGCCATGTTTACTCAATAACTCCGTTTATTTGACTTACGCAACAATGGCAGTAGCCTTGCGTGGAGCTGACAGACCAATAAGAATTTAAGAAGGCCTATGGTTGTACAACCGATTCTAGTAATATGGCAGACCTGCACTAGGAGAGAATTAAGTACCAGGCTGGCTGAACCCTAGACATCTGCTCGGTCCCTTTTCCTCATCCATTCCTTGAAAGCTTTTGCATTATAAGGAATGCTGAGAATGCCTTCGCTGCAGAATCCATATTCCTCAGCTGATCTACACAGCAACTCCAAGATTTCAGCATCATATAAAGCTTTGGTATGCACCATAAAACGTTTGGTTTTATCATTTACTACAACTGCGACCGGAAGATAGCCCCTTGGCGCCATTGAAGGTCCTCTCAAGCGATTCACACTGCGGACACTCACGAATCTGCTCATCTTACTAGCTTTCACTCCCATAACTTGTAAGAACGCCCAGTTTCGTGTCTCATTCGCACCGTGCTTCTGTTTGATATTGATTAACAGTATTGGGTTGGCACATACGATAGCAACACGAGAAGTTCCGCCCTATTGTGTTTATATGAGTACACTGAGCACCCTCAAATTAGAACTCAATTTTAAGAGCGCGTTCTATTAAAGTGCTTGGAACATAGAAATCGAGAGCACACATTCTCCTGCAAAACTCTCATTTTAGACTCACCAGAAGTCTCCGTCGGTTCACTCAACTGTGAAAAAAAATAAACGTTGTAGACCTGGAGTCCGAAGGTGGATTGTAACGATTTCCCAGATTATTCATAGAAGGCTTGCCTTTTGAATAGAAGCACGTATTCAGACCCATAACTCAGTTTTAAAAGATTCGTTTGTGATACAATTATTGTAGCAACCATGAGGCACGTACAATTCAATGTTGATAAATCAGGAAATAAATTATAATTTTCTGGAAATTTTGATCAATTTCGCTGCGTTTCAAGGGATCTTGTGTGGGTCATTTCTCATGTTCACACGAACTCTACGTACAGAAATCTAACTTGTACTGATTTGGATACTTTTGTACTGTTTAAAATTGATCTGGTATTTTATGCTCTTCTTGTCTGAAGATGATCACGGTCACAGTCAATGAAAGCAACTTTAGAGGAAAATCAATTATATAATTCTCCATTTAATCAACAACTGAGCGTATCGATTTTGTTCATATTTTAAGAGACCTTCTGTGGATCACATCTCATGTTCAGACTTCGAAGAATCGGTTATTGAAATATAAGATTCAGGGAAAAAAATCTATACATCATATTCTTAGTCCGAACAGTAAATAAAATCCAAAAGGTATCATCCATGAAGTTGATGAACTACCCGGACAAGTGTTGCCTGAAATAAATTTCCGTTCTTATTTGTTATTTTACATGGTTATATCATGTGCTACCAGTCGTAGCTGCCATGACTAAAAATTTTGTGCATATTCGACGTATCATGGAAGAATATATGACGGCATTTATAAATAAACGAACAACTCAATTTAATGCTTAAAAGCACAGTACGTACATGTTTGGCGTAAAAGTCTGATCCTGCCATTGAGCAGTAGAAGAAAATGTTCGTCTCATCATATGCTTTGCTGGAATAGAAAATCAATTATGACATTGGAAAAAAAATAAAAAATACAAATGAATAACAATATAATTCTTTACTACACAAATTTTTGTAAATTATAGTACCTCCTACATGACAATTGCACTATGCAGCAGGGACACTGAGGGAACCGATTCCTAGCACTCTAGATAGTGTCTGCATCACCGGGACATCCAAGTATCAGGAAATGCTATAATGTCAGTAACTTCAACAGCATATGATAATCGATAACTGTACCTCGCCAATTCGAGCATTAATTTTCAGAGGTACAAAATCATCAGCTCTTGTCACACCTACATTTACAATTGCAGTAGCAGCACCAGCCTCATGAGCCGCTCTGCATGAATCAATTTTAATTATTAATGTTCTTAAACAACATAAAATTCAATTGCAAAAATTATACCTAGTTCAACCAACCCAATTCAAATTTACAGGACAAAGTTATTAAATCATCAAATATGTCTTCATCTACCACATAGGGATCATACACAAATCCTCCCCAAAGAAACACGACCGTTTAGTTCACAACTGCATATAGCATGTAAACTGGCTGTACTGTATCTCATTGTCACACAGTTATAGTATATGAAGTTAACCATCTTTGTTTAAGTATATTACGGTAATCATTTTTGGCTTAGTAATTATGGTAAAATGCATTTTAATTTCACTGTCTAAAACACGAGTGCATCACATATATCAACTAAGACACTGACAGATGCTAGGGCAGCATGTTCTACCATTAGCAAACTGAAAATTAAAACAAATTACTAGTAGTTTTAGGAAACTCTTTCACTCACTCACTCACAGATAAACATGCTCCATCTAGTTTAAAAGATCACCAGTTGGTCAGAGGTTCTGGTTCACAGTCATCCTCATATTCTTTTGTTAACAAAAGGAGAAAAGTTGACACATAGTCCAGTGTCTTCTTTAATTTTTTATGTTAACACAATAGAAAATAATGGCAGTTTAATCTATGCTAGAAACTAAAATTGCCTCGATATAAATGAGCAATTTGAATGCACCTGACAAGTCGGAAAGCAGACATGGTCATCAAAGACGAACCAAGGACAAGGAAAGCATCACATTCCTTCACAGCTTCCATTGCCCTATCAGCTCTATCCTTGGGGACATTATCGCCAAAGAAGACAACCTGCAAAGGTATAAAATACATCAGACCAAGTGACTAACATAAATGCAACCAGATTTTATATCTAGCCAAAATCACTCAGTATATCGATATTGGATAGATGCTCCTCTACCTTTATGTGTAAATGAAATCCTGAAAAATCAGGCAAGATATCAGAAATATTGGTGAGATTTGGTGCGAAATACCATTCTTAACAGACTAATTCTCTCGCTCCTGTCACGAAAAATTAGTAACTTTCCACTGAAAAGGAGACCATTAATATTTGTTCTCTTAGTGACAGATGTGAATATGGCCAAACAGCGATATTCCACTTAGGCCTTTTGCAAAGCCAAACCCTTCTTTTATTTAAATAACATTCTCTCAAAGTTAATCTCATAAAAATTAACTATATCGCCTTGTTTTTAACTGGCCAATATTCAAAAGACTGACCTGTCTTAGTACCGTCTCAACTAACCGTAATGCAAAATAGTCTGGTGTAACCCACAAATCAAAGAATTCGATAATCAGATACTAAGTGAAAGTATAAATATAAAAATGAATCCACTGATTAGAATGATCATGACTGCAAAACGAGAATTATGGATTATTTTGCCAATCAACTTCATGTCAGTTAAAAGAATGACGAAATTGGTCAATATTTATAACAACATATTTGATGAGAGATGAAGAATCTCTATATAATCCTATAGTACCTCTGTAGATTGTTAAAGTCGAAAGAAGAAGCCAAAACATGTCAACAGTAATTTCTTTGACCCTTCAAATACGCATTTGAGTTTGCACCAACATATATGAATGGATAATAATCACTATTCTACAAGGAAACGTACATTCTCCTAGAAGCACGCAGAAGGCAACATCCGAAACAGAACAAATTTGCTTACATCAGGTTTCAGTATTCCTTCGCATCTCTCGCAATTAGGAATATAGAACTCCTCCTCCCAAAATTTCTCATTGATTTCAATATCTCCATCAGGCCTTTGCTTCATTCCAAAACTCTTGTCAGAGCGACTATCGTAATCTAAACTTTCAATTGCTTCAGCCCACTGCAAAACACAAAAGGCGCGAGCTTGAATCCAGTCTATCATAGAAAATGAGATAACAATAGTTACAAGATTTGATACTTGAGAACCTATAAGTTGGACCTAACATCACAAATATAGAGCTCAATGACAAATCTTTTAAATGGGATCTTTAGATTCTGAGTTTCGTTTAGAAGAAGATTGCGCTATTATTTTTTCCCCATGATACCAAGAGGAAAACCTAATTAGCAGACATTAGGCATTGAAACTTGGAAA